TTCTTTCAGTCGACGGTACTCGTCCAACCAATCGACCCATTCGATCTCCTTGCCAGCCTCATCAATTGGGGGATCCTGGAACTCAGAAACGATAGGAGGCGAGGTTGCGTCTTGTAGAGAAGACTGAGCCGATGAAAAGAACAAGGCATTGGCCGGGCCAGTGCGAGAATCTGGTGCTTGGCGATTACTGACGCTCACGGATCGCTGCCGCTCTGCTATCCCATCCCTCTGTTGTCGCAGCGTGAGCGTGCTCTGTCGACGCAGGACGCTAGATGCGGTCATTTGCTGCGGTCCCTGCAAAGTAGTGTAATGGCCACTGGGATGGGTGCTCGTGCCATCAGTCATGGCTCTCTGGAGCGGAGATGTTTGTAAGCCCGCGGATGCAGGTGGCGAAACAGCTGAGCGTGCTGTAGAGCGCCATTTTTGCATCTTTGCGTTACGAGACTGCACAATGATGCGAGCATATTCGTCGATACCAAGCTGGTGAGATGCGCTTGGCGAAGCAGCAGGGGGGATTGGCCCACTTGGTGGTCCAGCAAACGACATGCGATTCTGGGAACCGAAGAAAGGCACCGCCGGTAATTCAAGGTGCGTCTGTCCGTGCGATGAAGACGGCCGCGCGGTCAGCGCAGCCTCGCCGTGGAGAGATCGGTGTGGTTTGAAATCCTGCGAGCTTGCAATCCACGGAGCTGGACGACTGATCGTGTCTGCAACGGGTGATCAATGATGCGAGTGATTAAGCGCACGATCGCACGATTAAATAGCATATCCTCAAGTCTGCGTTACGAGCGAAAACTCACCAAACGAGTGGCCGGGGTCAGGGAAGCTGCTCTTCTCGATAGCCAGGGCATCGTGTTTTCGTGTCTCTCCCACAGGAGGAATGCTGAGCAGGGGCGCGAATGCCGATCCAGAAGGTCTATCGGCAGAGCCGGAGAGGCCCAATCGAGCCGATTGTGTTGGCGCAGAACCTGGCGATCGGACACTTCCACCTTCGCGAGGAAAT